CCAGCTCCGCCTGCCGGGCCTGCTCCTCCGCCTGCTGGGCCTGAATCAGGCGCTCACGGTGCCTCAGCTCGTCGATGCTGAACTGGTGCTTCACCTCCGCCAGCCCCTTCTGCGGGACGGGACGGGCGTGTGAGCACCGGCCTCGCCAGGGCCCCGCAGGGCAGGGTGTGGGTGACAATGGCTCATTGCCTCACGGCCCCGAGACAGGTTTGTAAGAACCTAGGAAAATTCCCTGGCAAGTGGAATGAGGAAACAGACAAATAGCCGAAGAAACAGCTGGACGGGCTGAGCAATGGACAGCCAGCTGGTAAATGACACGGTTCTGTCCTCCCCACCGGACACCGAGAGCGGTGGTCTAATCACCCTCGTCAGGGAGAGAGAGAACAAAAACCATCAGAGCCAGAGCGACCCAAGACAGAGGGGAACTCCCCACGCCCCACCCCGATTGCTACATCAGTACTACACTCACACCTGGAGATCCACCCCCGAGACTGCCCCTAAAATTCCCACCCATGGAAAACCGATAAAACCCTCAGGACAAAGGGTGCCAATGTGAGCTCTTCTTTGAGCAAACCTGTGTCCCCCTTTCCTCGGGCGTGTACTTTGCTTCTTCTACCCTAAGCCCTAAGGGTGCCCACAAGACGTGCACCCAGGGGAGCAATGGGCAGTGGCAGCTTGTCCCAGGCTTATCCCCTGGTCCTGTCTCCAGGAGCCCTTCTTTGGCCTCATGGTCCCAAGCTTTAATAAACTCACTCTCACTTTCCCCTGGACTCGCTGGTGAAACTGTTCCTGCCTGAGTCAGGGCCCTGCAGGTCGCCTGGCTCACACCCTACAGGGCAGGGCCAGCCCCTGGCTGAGGCAGACCAGTAACAGTGCTTTCCTTTCGCTTTTTCTTTCTTTTTAAAATATATTTTTATTGATTTCAGAGAGAAAGGGAGAGGGAGAGAGAGAGATAGAACGTCAATGATGAGGGAGAATCACTGATCGGCTCTGCCTCCTGCTCACCTCGCACTGGGAAGCGAGCCCGCAACCTGGGCATGTGCCCTGACCGGGAGTCGAACTGTGACCTCCTGGTTCATAGGTCGACGCTCAACCACTGAGCCGTGCTGACTGGAGAACAGCGCTTTTCTTTCTTTTTAAAAAAAATCCTCACCCAAGGATATGTTTCTATTGCTTCTTTTAGAGAGAGAGGAAGGGAGAGAGAAACATCAATGTGGGAGAGAAACATGGATCAGCCGCCTCCTGCACACGCCCTGACCAAGGATGGAACCGGCAACCTGGGTATGTGCCCCAACTGGGAATCGAACCCGCAACTTTCTGGTGTATGCGATGACGCTCCAACCAACTGAGCACCTGGCCAGGGCAGTAACAGCCCCTTTCAAGTATTCTGAGTCCTGGGGAGAGTAGGGAAGGACCGAGAGGGTGTGGAAGGCAGCGCGGGCAGCCAGGGATCTGTGAGGCCACATGACAAGGCCCCTCACAGGCGCACAGCCCACGGCCCTCACGGCAGCGTCCTGGCTCTTTTACAGACGCACGCGGGAGAGGTGAAGTGACCGACTTGAGTCCCAGGCTTGGTCACAGGGTCTCAGCCTTGGCTCTGTGCCCTGCCACCTCCTGGCTTTCCTCACCCATCCAGTCCTCCTCCTGTGCCTGCTGGGGATGCCGGCGCCCCTCGGGCTTGGTCCTCAGCCTCTGGGCTCACGCCACACACCCAGGCGTGTACCAGACCCTTCACCCTCTGACAACACTCAGGTCTCTGCCTCCAGCCCAGCCCACCTAGGAACGCCAGAACCACGCTTCTGGCTGCCTCATGCCTCCTGGCTGCCTCAAAAGCACTGCCAACCCCCTGTCCAAGCTGGACCTCTGCCCTCCCAGAGTCCTGCCGAGGTGAGCGGCGCCCAGCCAGCCAGCGCCCAGGACCCTCCCTTCCTCCTCAGACCCAGGCTGTCCCAGGCCCGCCGATCACTGATCGCCTTTAACCTGTCACATCTTCTCTGTCCAGGGCCTGCCTCAGTCCCCTAGCTGTCTCCCTGTGCTCCCGCCCCCTCTACTCTGTCCAGCCCGCCCCGCGAGCGACGAGGGCAATCTGCTAAATGCAAACCTGATCCCAGCAGTCCCTCACTCGCCTTGTGTGGCTTCCTCTTGGGCATAGGGTGACAGCAAGCTCCTGCCGTGGCCTGCAGGGCCCACCCACCCCTCCACACCGCCGCCTCTCCTCTCCAGCTCCAGCCACTGGCCGCTCGGTGCTGCCTCCCAACCCAGGGCCTTCGCATGTGCTCTGCCTTCTGCCTTCACTCAGCCAACTCCTGCTCGTGCTGTCTATCCATCTGCAAACCACCACCAGTGGCCGCCATCCTGTACAGCCACCTCAGCCCATGCTCTGCCCTCCTGGCGCCTTCGTGTGTCTCCTTCCCAGGGTGCTGGCTCCGTGCAGGAAGGCCGGCCTCCCCAGCCTGTGCAGTTCCGAGGCGCCCAGCCTCCCCGTCTTGTTCTGAGGGCCGGCCCAGTGTTTAACCCGCACCTAGTGTTCTACCTCAGCATGGGCCCTGGCTGCAGACAGCTCACTCTGCACATGTTGACATCCAGCTATTCATCGAGCTGCACACTTACATTCTGTCTCCTTACGGATTCATATGTCAATAAATTAGTGAGTTCTTAAAATCTCTAGCGTCCAGCCTCTCCTCTCATCTCTATTCCCACAGCCTGTCCTGAGTGAGGCCACCTCCTCTCGCTCTCTCTGGACCATGGCCCCTGCCTCCGCTCCCCCATCTCCACCTCTTCCCCTAAGTCCCCACAGCAGTCCTCAGGTCCCTGAACTTCTGATCCGTGTGAATTTGCTAAACACTGCTCAGGGCTCTCCCTGGGCCTCCATCGTCCACGGACCCTGCTGGCAGCACCCTGCCCCTTCCCCCCCCCCCCCCAGCCCCTGGGATCAGCCCCTGCCCATCCCGGGGGCTGGGTCGAGGGGAGGGCCAGGCTTCAGGCACAGCCCAGGGCCTCACAGGAACAGAGGGCGCTCCTTGGAGCCGGGAGGCAGCAGAGAAGCTGCACGAGGCCGTGTGGCTGTGGCTGGGCCGGCTCTCCCACTGCCTGACCCCCCAGCATGGAGGCCAGTGCCGGGGGCAGGCAGTGGTTGGCCCGGGACAGACAGGTGCCCCAGTTTTGCAGAGCTCGGTTTTGTACTTATTATTTATCTTGATGCTTCCAGGCAAATCTCTGAACCGTGAAAGGAGTCTTCGCTTCCTCCCAGCACAGCGGAAGGCCGGCTGCTACCTGCCATTCACGGCAGCGCCTGGGCCCGAGGAGCGGAGGCAGGAGGGGCCTTGGAACTGTGCAGTGGGCTGTCGCACGATTTCGTGAGAGCAAGATGCCAGTGGAGCCGCCTGGAAAGCAGCAGTTCCACGGGCTGGGCCTGCACCCGAGTCCAAGCCTGGGAGGGTGAGGGAGATCTGCCCCCGCCCTCCTCCGCCCCCCATGGCTCTCCTGGGCGCTCTGCACATCAGCCCCCTGTGCCTCAGACACGGCTCCTTTCTCTCAGGAAAGGCACCAGCTTCCGGCGAGATGGGCAGGCCGGCAGGCCTCAGTCTCCCTGGCTCCAACACAAGGAATAGCCCAGCCCTGCTGCCAACGCTGCACAAGCTGGGCACCATCTCCTCCCAGTGGTGGCAATTCCCACAATGGATCCCAGATCCCACGGAAGCAGCGGAGAATGAGAAGCAAGTGAAAGGGGACCAGCCCACAACGGGAAATGGGAAGGAGGTGGGCATTGGAAAGACAAGGCTGCAGGCAGGCCAGGCAGTGGGCCGGCCAGCAGTGGACTGGGGACAGGCCCTTTGTGCTGGGGCGAGTCCTACACAGGCTTTGCTGCTAGATGACCTGGGTCCCAGTCCCAGCTTGACTACACTGGCTATGAGCTCCTGAGTACGCCAGCCCACCCGGGACAGCTCATGTGTGTATCGGCCCACCCGGGACAGCTCCTGTGTGTGCCAGCCCACCCGGGACAGCTCCTGTGTGTATCGGCCCACCCGGGACAGCTCCTGGGTGTGCCGGACCACCCGGGACAGTTCCTGTGTGTGTCGGCCCACCCCGGACAGCTCCTGTGTGTGCCAGCCCACCCGGGACAGCTCCTGTGTGTATCGGCCCACCCGGGACAGCTCCTGGGTGTGCCGGACCACCCGGGACAGTTCCTGTGTGTGTCGGCCCACCCCGGACAGCTCCTGTGTGTGCCAGCCCACCCGGGACAGCTCCTGTGTGTATCGGCCCACCCGGGACAGCTCCTGGGTGTGCCGGACCACCCGGGACAGTTCCTGTGTGTGTCGGCCCACCCCGGACAGCTCCTGTGTGTGCCAGCCCACCCGGGACAGCTCCTGTGTGTATCGGCCCACCCGGGACAGCTCCTGGGTGTGCCGGACCACCCGGGACAGTTCCTGTGTGTGTCGGCCCACCCCGGACAGCTCCTGTGTGTGCCAGCCCACCCGGGACAGCTCCTGTGTGTATCGGCCCACCCGGGACAGCTCCTGGGTGTGCCGGACCACCCGGGACAGTTCCTGTGTGTGTCGGCCCACCCCGGACAGCTCCTGTGTGTGCCAGCCCACCCGGGACAGCTCCTGTGTGTATCGGCCCACCCGGGACAGCTCCTGGGTGTGCCGGACCACCCGGGACAGTTCCTGTGTGTGTCGGCCCACCCCGGACAGCTCCTGTGTGTGCCAGCCCACCCGGGACAGCTCCTGTGTGTATCGGCCCACCCGGGACAGCTCCTGGGTGTGCCGGACCACCCGGGACAGCTTTCCTTGGGAGCTGGGGGTGAGAACAGAGCCTGCCTTACAGGTTGAGGTGGAAACTACATGAAATAATGCTGTCTGCTTGGCATGTACGTGCACAATGGCTGCTGTCATGTTGCTTCTGGGCCTACAGAGAGGAGAGGAATCTCGGCTCTGCCATGAGCTGTGATCCTGGCCAATTGCTAAGCCTCACACTTTGTCTCCTCAACTTCTTTGTCAGAGAATCAGACAGTACAGAGAGAGGCGGGGCCCATGGTGTAGACTTTTTGGGAGAGCTCCTGAGGGCAATCTCTGGGGTGTCAGAGACTGGACAGGTGCTGAGCCCCTGCCCCCACGAAACCCGCCCCATCCCATCCTCGAGACGGCCACAGGCCCCAGCGCCTGCGGAGGAGTCCCTGGCTGTGGCCAGCTGGGCCCGAGGCAGACTCGCTGGAAGCTCTGGAGGAGGGAGAGGCTGAGCTGTGAGGCTCTAGGGAGGGGCCACCTTCCCTTGCAGCCCTCCCTCCGGGGCCAAATCTGGGTGTCCTCCCTGGGCTGGGGAACTCTGCTGGCCCCACCTGCCACTCCCTGAGGCCGCCCACCACCGAGGCCCCCGGGCAGCTGGCAGGGGCCAGCCTGGGCGGGCCCAGAGGCCAGTGCTGAGTGGCCTCGGTCCCAGCACTGTGCGAGTTTGAGCAGCATCACCTTGGTCAGCACCACCGCCCCTAATGGTGACCGTCCGCCGGGAGCACCGAGGCCGCCAGGCTCTTCCTGTGACAGCAGCCGGCACGGAGGACGGTCTCCAGGTGCCGACCCGCTGCCGGGCTCGGTGCTGGGGGAGCCGTCCTTGGTGCAAAGCTTGGCCTCTCCCACGCACCCCCAGGTCCAGCAGAGGCGGCCACAAACTGTGGATCCCTTTGTGGCTCCGAGCAGGTAGTGCAGAGCCAGTCCTGGCGGTGTCTCACACTGACCACCCAGGCCCTGCCCCCCCTCCAAGAGGCCCCAGAACCAACACAGCTGGTGGCAGGAACGTGAGAGCAGGAACCCGTTAGCACCACAAGCAGCACCAAAGGGCGGTCTCGGTGGCACCAGAGCCTGGTGGCGGATTCTGCCTCCCGGGTCAGCCCCTCATGGCAGCTCACACACGGGGGTCAGCCAGCCCGAGCGCCAGCCCCACCAAGGGGCGAGCCAACAGCAGTCAAGACCCAGCTACAACAGGAGGGACCCACATGAGGGACATTCCTGGAGCGCCTGTCAGAGGTCAGGGAGGCAGCGCCACTGAGCCCCCCAGACCTGCTGCGTCAGGACCCCTCCCAGACCAGGGGCTCCGCAGACGGACCTAATGCACAGGCACCACCACAGAGAGGCAGCCCAACGGAGACAGAGAGAGGAATCCCCAGGGTGGCCGTGCCGGGTGGAAGGAGCCTGGCCACATGAGCAAGACGCAGGCTGGCCGCCAGGGTCCTGCCAACGGCGGCCAGGAGAGGAGCGGGAGGAGGGAGCTGCCCTGCGCTCTGCCTCAGGGTCCCTCTCCCGGAACTAGGGGCCAGCTCTGGCTCACGGAGCTGGGACACCCAGAGGGAGACACTTGCCATGTGGTCATCGATCCGCCGAGAGTCCAGGTACACGAGGTCAGGGAGGTAGGCCCAGACGAACATCTTGTAATCCTCTGCCTCGGCGATGGGGTTCCCACAGAGGCTGAGCGCTCGCAGGTCCTTGAACCGCCGCAGGTAGATGATCTGGGGAGGACAGGCGAGAAGATCCACTTTCTTGGCTGCGCAGCTCCCTCTGGCATCTGCCAGAGTTGCAGCCTGGCCACAACTCCAGTGCCGAGCGCAGTGACAGGTGAGGAAGGTGCACGGGGCTCCAGGCTCATGGCTGTGCCAAGGCCTCTGGTCAGGCCTGGACTTTCCGAAGGATCAGCAAACCTGGGTTCGAATGCTAGCTGTGAGCCTCACTTTCCTCATCTGTAAAATGGGGGTGAGGATGTTATCTGTTATCTGTGTTGTAAGGATCAAATGAAATAACTATGAAGGGCATGTAGGAGAGTGCCTGGCACTTACTTGAATTCACTGGATAACTGCTAGTGGAACATTCCACAATGCTTTTATTTTTTCCTATACTCTATTTTTTTTTTAACCGTATAGTTAATACAGGCATACCTCATTTTATTGCACTGTGCTCTATTGTGCTTCGCAGATATTGCATTTTTTTTCACAAATTGAAGGTTTGTGGCAATCCTGCAAGTCTATTGGTACCATTTTCCCAACAGTATTTGCTCACTTTGTGTCTCTGTGTCACAGAAAGGTAATTGTAATTACCTTTTGGTAATTTTCACAATATTTCAAATTATATCATCATCATCATCAACCTCATCATTGTATTTGCTATAGTGGTCTGTAATCAGTGATCTGTACTGTGACTATTGTAATTGCTTTGGGGCACCACAAACCACACTCGTAAAAGACAAGTGAACTTAATAGATAAATGAGGTTTATGTTCTTGCTGCTCTACAGACTGACCAGTCCCTCGTCTCTCTCCCTCTCCTGGGGCCTCCCTATTCCCTGAGACACAATGATATTGAAATTAGGTCAATTAATACCCTACAATGCACTCTACGTGTTCAAATGAAAGGAGAAGTTGCCCGACTCTCACTTTAAAGCAAAAGCTAGAAATGATTAAGCTCAGTGAGGAAGGCGTTGAAAGCCAAGGTAGGCTGAAAGCTAGGCCTCTTGCACCAAACATTTAGCCAAGCTGTGAATGCAAAGGGAAAGTTCTTGAAGGGAATTAAAGGAGCTACTCCAGTGAACACATGAATGATAAGAGAGTAAAATAGCCTTACTGCTGATAGGGAGACAGTTTTACTGGTCTGGATAGGAGATCAAACCATCCACAACATTCCCTTCAGCCAAAGCCTAATCCAGAGCAAGGCCCTACTCTCTTCAATTCTGTGGCGGCTGAGAGTGGTGAGGAGGCTGCAGAAGGAAAGTTGGAAGTAGCAGAGGTTGAGTCATGAGGTTGAAGGAAAGGCATCTCCGTGTCATAGAAGTGCACGGTGAAGCAGCAAGTGCAGATGCAGAAGATGCGGCAAGTTATTCAGAAGATCTAGCTCAGATGATTAATAAGCAACATAGTCCATTGCAGACAAAGGAGCCCTTTTTGAGAAAAGATGCCATCTACGACTTTCATAACCAGAGGGGAGAAGTCAGTGCCTGGCTTCAGAAGACAGGCCGACTCTCTTATTAGGGGCTAATGCAGCTGGTGACTTGAAGTCCAAGCCAGTGCTCCCTTTCCATTCCAAAATCCTGGGGCTCTTAAGAACGATGCTAATCTACTCTGCCTGTAAATGGAACAACACAGCACATCTGTTTACAACATGGTTTACTCATCTTTTAAGTGCACTGTTGAGACCCACTCTCAGAAAAAAAGACTCCTTTCAAAATAGTACTGCTCACTGACAATGCACCTGGTCACCCAAGAGCCCTGATGAGATGTACAATGAGATTACTAGTAGTGTTGCTGCCATGACTGTTCACACAGCACTCAGCCCATGGGTCAAGGAGTAATTTCCACTTCCAAGCCTTTTTAATTAAGAATTACATTTTGTAATGCTATGGGTGCCATAGACAGTGATTCCTCTGATGGATCTGGGCAAAGTGAATTGAAAACCTTTGGAAAGGATCCACCATTCTAGATGCCATAAGAACATTTCATGATGCATGGGAAGAGGTGAAAATAGCAACATTAGCAGGAGTTAGAAGAAGGTGAGTCCAGCCCTCATGGATGACTTTGAGGGGTTCAAGACCTCAGTGGAGGAAGTAACTGCACATGTGGTGGAAATAGTAAGAGAACGAGAATGACAAGTGGAGCCTGAAGATGTACTGAGTGCTGCCATCTCGTGAGAAAGCTTAGGATGAGGAGTTGCTTCTTATGATGAGCAAAGAAAGTGGTTCCTTGAGATGGAATCTGCTCCTGGGGAAGACGCTGTGAAGATTGTTGAAATGGAGGAGAACCAAGATGGGAGCATAGGTAAACACTGGAGTTTGCTGCCTCGAACAACCACTTCAAAAATACAACTAAAAGGCAGAACGGACATCACCCAGAACCACAGGAAAGCTGGCTGAGGGGAAATTCTTCAACTAGAAGGAAAGAGAACAGCACACCGAGACTCAGAGGAGGTGCAGTGCGGAAAATACTAAGGTGCGGAGGTGCGTGCGGAGCGGGCTGGTGGCTGAGGGTGCAGTTGTCGTTTTCAATTTGGAGGGAGTCTCAGACTCTGAGCTCCAGTTCTGAGCGAGTCTCTGGGGACCCAGACTCAAACGGGAGAAGCAGGACTGTCTGGCATCGGTCGGAACGTGAGGGCAGCTTTCTCTCCGAGGTTTGCAGCGGTTGCTGGGACTCTGAGAGGAAGAGCCTCTGGGGACAGGACTGAGAGCAGCCATAACTGCTCCCTCTGCCCGCCCTGTTTGATCCCATGCAACCCACCCAGCCCAAGCCCTGCACAGAGCCATTTGCCAGATAGCCTCAGGCAAAGGCTAGATTAGCACCTCCCCAGAGGACAGAAGTTTTCCCACTGCAGACACAGCTGATTTTCACAGCCAGTTGGCCTGGAGGTCAAATGCCCCTACTATCAT